CAAAAAACACAGCATGGTACATCGGTGTGAGTGTGTGTGTGTAGCTGTGCTCTAACTGCTGCTTTTCCCTCTCCCTCTCCCTCTCTCTCTCTCTCTCTTTCTCTCCCTCTCCCTCTCTCTCCCTCTCTCTTTCTTTCTCTCTCTCCCTCTCTCTCTCTTTCTCTCTCTCTCTCTTTCTCTCTCTCTCTCTCTCTCTCTCTCTCTCTCTCTCTCTCTCTCTCTCTCTCTCTCTTTCTCTCTCTCTCTCTCTCTCTCTCTCCCCCCCCTCTAACCACAGAACGGCCCTCAGATAAAACTCCCTCCAGTTGGGCCCCTCCATGTTTCCCTCCCTCCCTCCCTCCCTCCCTCGCCATGGCGGCTCTGCGTCACGTCCTCGTGGATGACAGGTTAATGAGGAGAAAATATTTTTACAGGATCGGGTTTCTAGTGAGTCTTCAGAACTAACAGCAGAACTTTCTGAGCGTCGACCACAGACTGTGTATTTACTCTGGACCACTTGGTCCCGCCTCTTCATACAGACTTGAAGCTGAAAAGTTCTCGGTAATTCTGCGTTTGTTTCTCCACTTCCTGAAACCAACGTTGTTCAGTAGCGTTGTTCATGTTCAGCAGGAGAGTCTCTGTGATGACGCTCGGCTCAAACAGCGTATCCCCCGGTGATCTACTCAATCTCTGTCCTCCCATTGGCTGTATCAGGTGTCAATCATAGAAAACATGAACTTCAGAGCGAGGAGACGGTTCAGAGCCTGGACCGTGACCCGTCTCCACAGTCTTATTCCAGTCCGCTCTCTGGTCTTCAGAATAAAGGTTCTGGCCTCCCCTGGTCCTGGTCCTGGACCGTCCCCTCTCTGTGATCTGGATCTGCTCAGACTGACACCAACTCTGACCTTCACACCTCCACACACACTCAGTCTAACCCCCCCACCTGACCTCCTGACCTCTGACCCCTCAGGCTCTCACCCTGTCAGCGCTCCTCAGAGGAGGAGGAGGAGGAGGAGGAGGAGGAGCAGACGCTTCTCCAAGTCCTCCGATAGAACAAACTAAACTGTGATACTTGTGTTTGTGTTTGTCAGACTTCCTCTGAGGTTGTCCTCTCTCAGCTGATTTTATAGTTTGTCACTCCGATCATTGAAAATGTCTGATCAATAACTGATTGATCAGTTTTGTACAGAGTGAACAGAGAACATGTGTGAAGTCTGAGATTCCTGAACGCTGTGACTCCTTTAATGGTTCTAGTTGTAGTTTCACTGTTCGACCACTAGGGTTTGTTTGTGTGTCAGCGTGCTCAGAGTTGGATCCTGAGATCAAGTACAGGCTGATCAATGAGGACCCTGGTCCTGGACTCTCTGAGATCCTGAACTCTTATTTCAGAGACTTTCAGATCCACTGAGAACAAAGGGGGGGGGTGTCAGAGGGTCCCAGACCCCTGCCCTCATTTAGTCCTCCTACAGCTTCACCTCCTGGTCTCTGCAGACCCACATCAGAGGAGCAGGGAGGGTCCCAGGACCGGGAACAGGAGCCAGGGCCAGGATGTCACGTCTGAACCTGGAACCAGCAGCCAAACCAGTCCGGCTCTGTGGGACCCCCCCTGACCCAGATCCCAGAACAAAAACCAGGGTCTGACACCGGCCAGGCAGACCTCTGTTCTGGGCTGGACTCCAAGTCTTCTAGGACCCTCAAAGGGGGCTCTCCAGGACCAAGAACAGGGTCTGGCACTCTAAACACCCCCCAACACACACACACACACACACACACACACACACATATATGAAGCTCAGAGACGTGGACTGGCAGAGAGGAGGAGAGGAGGAGGAGAGGAGGAGAGGAGGAGAGAGGAGGAGGAGGAGAGGAAAATGACCTTTAAGTCCGTTTTTACTAATATTTTTGTTTTTATCTTTTTCTATGAACTTTATAACAAAATGTAACAAAAAAATAACAAAAATTATTATCATTATTATTATTATTATCATTATTATTATTATTATTATTATTATTATTATTATTATTATTATTATTATCATTATTATTATTATCATTATTATTATTATTATTATTATTATTATCATTATTATTATTATCATTATTATTATTATTATTATTATTATCATTATTATTATTATTATTATTATCATTATTATTATTATTATTATTATCATTATTATTATTATCATGATTATTATTATGATCATTATTATTATTATTATTATCATTATTATTATTATTATTATTATTATCATTATTATTATTCTTATTATTATCATTATTATTATTATTATCAGTATTATTATTATTATTATTATTATCATTATTATTATTATTATTATTATTACTATTATCATTATTATTATTATTATTATTATTATTATCATTATCATTATTATCATTATTATTATCATTATTATTATTATTGTTATTATTGAGAGCGGAGAAGAGAGGTGAGTCCAAAATAAAAACACAAACAGAAGCTGCTGCAGGAGGAGGCGGAGGAGGTGGAAAGAGGGGGAGGTGGAGGAGGAGGTGGAGGTGTTGGATCAGTCTGAATGGAGTCCAGCAGGGTTCAAGTGTTCCTGTTTGGGTCCCTAAAGAGTCCAGCAGCAGGACCCAGATCCAGAATCTTTAAACCTCTAAAACAAGAACAGCCAGAAGAGTTTAGGGGCTCCTCGTCCCTGAGACCCCCCCGTATGTGAGTGTGTGTGTGTGTGTGTGTGTGTGTGTGTGTGTGTGTGTGTGCGTGTTAATGAACTAACTCGTATGTTAATCAGACAATAGAGAGTGAGACAGCGATCATGTGCTGAGGGTGTGTTAGAGCAGGGGGGCGAGTTTCTGTGGGAGAGAGAGAGAGCAGAGAGGTGGGAACTGGGCAACCTTCGAACCCTTCCTCTGTACCCCCCCAACACACACACATACACACACACACACACACACACACACACACACACACACACACACACACACACACACACACACACACACACCAAAAGAAAAAGGGTCAAATAGGAAGAAGTGGGGGGGCTACAGATACACGAGGGGGTGGGGGGGTAAATACCTCTGCGGGGGGGTTTGATACCGGGGTAACCATGTGATCCAGATTCAACACACACACACACACACACACACACACACACACACACACAAAACAAGTTGTAAAAGGAAAAAGGAGAAACTGAGACATGAGACCAACTAATGAGGGAGTTCACTGAGGATGAGAGGGTGAGGAGATGAGAGGATGAGGAGATGAGAGGGTGAGAGGGTGAGGAGATGAGAGGATGAGGAAATGAGAGGATGAGGAGATGAGAGGGTGAGAGGGTGAGGAGATGAGAGGATGAGGAAATGAGAGGATGAGGAGATGAGAGGGTGAGAGGGTGAGGAGATGAGAGGATGAGGAAATGAGAGGATGAGGAGATGAGGAGATGAGGAGATGAGAGGATGAGGAGATGAGGAGATGAGAGGATGAGGAGATGAGAGGGTGAGGAGATTAGAGGATGAGGAGATGAGGAGATGAGAGGATGAGGAGATGAGTAGATGAGAGGATGAGGAGATGAGAGGATGAGGAGATGAGTAGATGAGAGGATGAGGAGATGAGGAGATGAGAGGATGAGGAGATGAGGAGATGAGGAGATGAGAGGATGAGGAGATGAGGAGATGAGAGGATGAGGAGATGAGAGGATGAGGAGATGAGAGGGTGAGGAGATGAGAGGATGAGGAGATGAGGAGATTAGAGGATGAGGAGATGAGAACAAACACCTGTCCTGTTTGTTTACCCCCCCCCACACACACACAGAGTCAGAGACTTTCTCAGACCCACAAAGACCTAAACCAGAACCTGAACCTGAACCATTTTTACCACTAATCTGAAGGAGTCCATTCATGACCTTTGACCCTGCAGTCCCTGTTTTCCTCATGGCGAAGCTGAGTCAGCAGTGTGTGTTTGAAAGTGTGTGTTTGTGTGTGTTTGTACGTCTCTATATTAGGATATCTGCTGACTGTGTTATTATCCTATCACAGCGGAGCACAGAGACACCTGTTGGACAGGTGGGCGGAGACAGAGCGTACCTTGTAGCGCATCTTGGGGCAGGAGTGGATGTAGAAGCCCAGGTAGTAGTAGGTGAGTTTGGGGGACTGTTTCTGCAGCTGCCTGGTGAAGGAGATCTCCCTGAAAACAAACACACACACACACACGTATTCAGAGAGGAGATCCTGGACCAGACCAAAACCAGAACTACCAGCAGCACCTGTGGTCACTTTAGTGAAGAAGCTGCAGGACACTCTCCAGAGAGTTTGATCAGAGTCTGAGATTTTAGGAAGAAGAAGAAGAAGAGCTGAGGACTTTTTATTCATTCTGGACCAGGAATACCGGCGCCTGATACGTGTTTGGACCATCTAATATTCTAATGAGCAGATTTGTCTGATAGAGAAGTGATTACAAGTTCAACTGGTGTCCCATTTTTAGTATTTTCAGTATTTTCTCATTTACAGAGAGATAAACAGAGATATCTAAAGCCCCCCCCCCCTGACTCTAGTCTGTCAACAAAATAAAACATGAATTTAAAGGGGTTTTATTTATCGTTCAGTTTTCTGTAAATTAGTGCAGATTTAATTAGATATGACCTCATTTACATATTCAAACAGAACATTTGACTAAACTTGTGATATTAAAAATATTTGTCTTAATGTTATAAACTTGGGAAGTTTCTTGGTGATTTCGGTTTGTTAAAAATTTCACCCTGTTTACTTGGAGGGTCTCCCCGGTCCTCCTACCATCATGGACGCCATCTTGAAAATGACGCCTTTCTGGTGGTCGAACTTTGGTGAACTTTGAGTTTGTTATTAAGGACGTCTAAAACTATAAAGAACAGCTGAGAAACCTTTGTTAGAGACCCCCGACCACGCTCTGCAGGTCTCAGTCTGAGTCTGTCTGTCCTTCTTCAGTTTCTCTTCAGTTTCTCACGTCAAACTAAAGAATGAAAATTAGATTATAACCCACCAGAACCGGTCCAGGTCTG